TTCTGTTGTTGTAGCACAGAAACAGCCATAGGCAATATTTAACGAATGGGTGTGGCTATGTTCCAACAAAACTTTATTTGCACTGAAATTTGAATTTCATATAATTTTCATGAGTCACGAAATATTCTTAATTTTTCCAAACATTTAAAACTGTAAAAATCATTTTTTAGCTCAGGCTGTAGATCTTCTGGAAGTTCAGGGAGATAGGTGCTGGGCAAAATAACAAAATTCATGGCCTGCTTTTCCAGACCTGGGAGAGGGTAGTAGTATTTCCAGACTTTTATTTGAGATGTTACTTAGGAATTGCAGGGTATATGGTACCTACTGAACTGTGGGAATTCTGTAAAGGTAGGTCTGAGGGTCTGCAGCTTCTTTCCATTCCTAGCTCTTTACAGCCCTGCTCCTTTCTGAAAAGCAGGGGAAGAAATAGCCACCATGCTCTTTGTAGCTAGGTCTCAGGTGGGTTTGGGCCATCTCTCTTTTCTGGTTTCTGGTTCTCACAAGATGAATACTTTCCCTTTCTTTACTATATAATCTTTTTAAAGTTAAGTTTCTCCATTATCAGTATTCTGGGCACTGGAAGAGAGAAGGTACCTGGGTAGGTCCCTTTCCATTCTGGAGTCCAACACATACAGACTAAGAGGAGATGAAAATGATTATATATCTGTCTGTCTATATATGCTTTGTACCTATAAAGCACCATACGAATGTTACAATAAAGAAAGAAAAAGTACGGTTGACATCTTTATTTATCTTGGAAAGTGGAAAGCTATCTTTACTGAATACTTTGCACTTCCCCAAACAGCTATATCTGGCCAGCACCTTGCACAATGCATATTTATTGGAATGAATTAATTTATTCATTCAGTTAATATTTATTAAGTGCCTACTGTGTATTGCTTGGTGCCTTTCTGGTTCTCAAGTGAATCTTCTCCATAACTGCTTTCTTTTGGTTTCAGAAAGGGCAGGACCATAGGTGGCCTTCCTAGCACCCTTGATCACCTCTGTGTTAGCTGCACTAGAGTCCCCTTAGAAGCAGGAGCTCCCTAGGACCCTACTATACTATATTCAAGTGTAAAATACGGTGCTCACATATAGCTTTTAGTCAATGTACAGTGGAGTAAGATCATTACTTTTCAAGTTCTGGATACAGATCTTATTTGGTATGGGATAAGATTGTTCTTCAGGAAAAGATCTCTCTTCTGTAGGTGTGAAACAGGCAACGCCATTGTAAAACCAAAAGGACTAAGACAGTTATTGGTGAAGAGAGTGGCTTCTAGCTCCCCTGTCAAAGATCTGATGAATTTAAAAAGAGGAGGTTTTGGTGTGAAAACAATTCAGTTTTAAATTAAACCACTCAAGGTACTTGTGAGATAGTTACAGGTGATAATTGACTGTATGGTTCTGAAACTTGGGAAAGATAAAAAACTTGGGAGATAAAAAAATTGGTAGGGGAGGTGCATACTGTGTTGACTGTTCTCATTTAAAGTTTTGAATTTAAGAAACTATATGTGAGAGAAGACAAAAACATAAACTTTCTTCCAATGCTCTAATCTCATAAAAATACATAAATTTTATAAAATTGTAGGTACATATTGTTTGTACTCAGAATTTCCATTTAACATTATTTTACAAGAGGAACTCAACTAAGTGCTGGAGCTTTGGGTTCCATTTCTTATTCTGTCACTATATGACATATGACCTCAGGCAAGACACTTTAGCATCATGGGCTTCACTTTCCCCATATATACAGAATGGAGGATCCGATGTTGCTTACAAGCTTACACACATTTATACATATCACTGTGGTGCACATGCTTGCCATTTTAAATGGTTATAGTGTTCTAAGGGGCTAAAAATTACAGCGAAATATAGAGCCATGGGAAGAGTAGCAGAAATAGAGGACTTAGAACACATTTATAGGCACATGCAAGTGAACTGATACCAGAAGACAGTCAAAAGAATGAAACAGCCTTAAAGTTTTAAAGAGCAAATAATAGTTTAGTAATAAAAACTAGTACTTGGAATTACATGAAACATCCTCAGGGTTAAAATTGAGATCATATCAGAAACCTGCCTAAAGAAATGTGATGGGAAAGGAGAGTAATTAGTTTGTAAATACATTAAGTTACCAAGACCTGTTAATAGTTAGAACATAATATAGTAGGTATCATACATCTAGTTGTTCTCTTAATTGCTCTCTACTTAACCCAATTGCCAGATTAACTGACAAGATCCATTCCCTCTACAAAATTTGCTGATGGCCTTAGTACAAGACTTCTTGCAGTTAGGTTTGCTGCTTTCTAACACTTCCGTTTGCTCCAGTTTAGTTGTGTGTTTAACAAGACTTTGTTGTTTGCTCCCCCAAATTTACCCCAGTTATGTAATTATATCCCTCATTACATAATTAGATATAACCAATGAAATGAAGGCAGAGAGGGTTGTCTTTGGGAAAACTAAGTTGAATGGTTGGAAAAACTTGCTAATGACACTCCAGTAGCAGTGAACATGTCTAATAGCCAGATCTTGGTTACTAAATAGCTACTCATTAAGTAAAAGGAGCCAGGAATTGCTGGAGAAATGTTTCATTCCATGTCTGGGGCATTGAGAGTGCAAGATGAACTTGACATACTTGTGTCAGAAGGCAGTTAAGTGCCCAAAGACTAGAGAGGGAACATCAAAAGGACATAACAGCTATTTGAAATGTCCAACTGGCCATATATGCAACAATTTGAACATCAGAAACAATGATCATAATTGACTAACTAACACATCGAATCATCTGTCATCACTACAGATATAATTAAAAGAAGATTGAGCATAACCCTGCCTCTAGTAGTTTCCCAGATGATGAGGGAAAGTTCTTCCTTACAGAAGAATGCCAGTCAATAAATGTAGAAAGAATGATAAAATTAGAAAATCACAAATTTTGATGAAACAATTGATTCAGACAAGGATTATCATTGGGTGATTGAAACCACCAGGTGAAAAGTTGGTAAACAGAATATCCATCTGCTGCCAAAGTGTCAGTCCAAGGATTATTTGTTAATTGTAAAAAAAGTAGTTTGTAAAAAAAAACTACCTTTATGTTGGGAAGATCTGGTGACTACGGCCTCAACCAAGTGAACAAATGTCACATCACTGACAGTGGGTCAACCTGATGTTAATGAGACTTTTGGTATGATGCAATGTGAAATACATTTGTGAAGTGCTGCTGTTAAAAGTTTTAACCTGAATCCAATCAAGCCTTTGGCCCTAAGTTCTAATTTACAGAAACTACAGGGGATACAGGAAAAACCTACATGTAAACCACATGTAACATAAACATATGAGACATTTCACAACACAACTGACCTCTCTTTTTTTTATTTTTTCCTTTTTGTCTTTTTTCGTGTCCGGCAACGGATCGCTACCCTCAGTGTCGCGCCCGTACTGGACCGGGACCGGCAACGGGATCGCAACCCTTGGTGCTGCGCCCACACCTTGCTCA